ATTAACACAGCTGCATGCATGATTATGTGAATGAAAACATACGTACAGTAGTGTAGTTTCTGTGCTTAAAACTTGCGGTAGCTATTGCTGTTGTCCGATTTTCATACTACGTAGTATTTCAATGTTGCATGTAAACTTTCGTGTGTTCTTTTAGTACAGCACAGCACAGCACAGCATGCTCTTGTACCGCGCGGGAAGGAAAGTCAGATCTTCTAGAAGAAAAATGGGTACTAAAAATAAATTGTTGGGGATTTAAACATGTCTTTTTGCCCATTGCATGCTGCAGTGATGATTGTACCCAATGACTGATGTACAGACTTATAGACTTCGCTCTATAGAGTAATTGTTCAGTAGTTCCATGCATACGACTGATGTTTTGGCCACGCGATTGACAGGATTTGATGAAGGAGGCGTTCGAAGTGATATGTACTGTATGATCGATGTCACTGTCACAAGAAAATCTCTCTGCATAGCAAGATAGAATTAGTCCGTCCACCTTCTTTTATGCTAAGCACACAGAAGGAAACGATGGAAGTTTTGACTCATCCTGACAATATATGAATAATCAAATCCCTCTCCCCTCCTACCCCCCAACACCCAAGTTCACATAACCAAATCTCTATCGATCCATAAGCAGTGACATAAGGCGGTGAAGCCAAGGCCCTAGTCCTTGGCGAGGGTGAGTGAACCAATAACGTGCAGCAAAAAGGGGGTTTTAGGGTTTGTTGATTTTTCTCGTTACAAAAAGATGGTAATTTGTAGGAAGAAACTTGGGAAAACTGAAACCGTATAGATGAATCCCCAGTCGCAGATCTGAACGCACGGGATAGTGAGATATGGCTGGGTTCACCCCTTCAGCCGCGGCCAACCATGGGTTGGATCTAAGGACCTGTCTAAGTGAGACAATCAGAGCTCAGAAGCTCAACGGTGGCCCGAGGTCATGCCTGGTAAGGTTCGCACTTGATACTTGATGCGTAAATTCCCTGGTCAGTGTTGTGGGTAGTCGAATGAAATACCGTAGGATACGCTCTCTCCTTAGTCATTTAAAAATATTTAGACGGCGATCGGGAGGGAAGAGCTCACTGCCCGAAATGCTAATCATGAGATGTTGTATGGTTGATAGATGCTGTGTCAAATTCCTTCTACGAGTATGGAGTAAGGTTTTAGAGTGCAGAATATGGAATTGTAGTACCCATTGAATGTACAGCCCGACGGAGTGGTAACCCGGGACGCTACTCAGGAATTATGAGATAATGACTCGGATCATAGGGCAGAACTTGAGTACAAATGAATATGTCAGTCGGGACAATTTCGTCTATCTGCTTATTTTGTTAATTAGATCACTTGATACATCTTTCTACTTCGCATCGTTGTTCAAAGTAATATATATGATTATCTAAAATAGACGGGGGTAGTATATCCGAGTTCCGTGGAAAGAGCGGATCGGGTATGAAGGGGCTATTCCAAATATCGACGTGGTGTAGAAGGAATTGGTATTCAATGCCCTCACGATGTTTTTGAATGACATCCTCTTTTTTTTTTTAATCTTGATTTTGCACAGCCGCCGGCAGTTTCAGTCAGCATGTAATCAGAAACAACACAAACATTCAGGGCTTCTCAGTACCGTATCATGACATGGTAACGATGGTAGTGATGCAAAAATGGACACGAGAAAATGTGTGAGCGAGTGCGAAAGTTCACCAATCTTCCACATTTGGACCTAATGAATGCTTGTCTATTTTGCTTGCTTCCACCCAATTCAAGACCCCTTTTCGACAGTGCGACACTGGTAAGAAATCGATTTTTGAATCCGTCATGCTGGTCGTGGTTTAGTTCGAGGCGGAGTCGTTCGCCTGTGTCACCAGTATCGACAAATGCGTATGTACGAGGAACCCTTGAGGCCATCTTCCTGTGAAGAGTGGTGTTGGGCTTGAGCGGCGGGCAAGCGTCGATGCGTAAGCTGCGTTACAATGCCATCATAAGCTGGTTCAATTTGATTTGATTGTGCTCATGGGCTTTCAAGTTTCAGCACAGCAATTGAGAGTGAGTACAAGTAAGGCGACGGATGGATGTGATGGATGTGATGGATGTGAAGGGTGTGATGGATCATGATTGAATGGATGGGGATGGATGGGGGTTATGGATGATGTTCCCGAATAAGTAAAGGATAGATGGGATATCGATAGATATCGGGCCTGCTTCACATTCATGCATTTACATTTGCATTGCAGTGTGCAGCGTAGTGCAGAGCGTAGTGTAGCAACATCATATTATAATCTGTTCTGATCGAATGTCATCACATTCTCGCTTTCGCTTTCTGCCTTGCCTTGCCGTTCATCTCGTCGATTACTCCGTACTGCAAATCGCTTGAAGGCTATGATAATGTATGATGTGTGATGTATCATGGACGTTACGTTGAACGAAAGAGGAAACGGGCTAGGTGGGTATATTCAATTACCTCGGTCGATTGGTTTGGTTAATGATTGAGCCGTGTGTAGTAGTTTGGTAGTGCATCAATTCTCGTCTTTTTCAGGTTAAGAACTTAAACCTACCATTACATCAATCGTTATTGCTAGTAGATTTAGACATTTAGACACTTACACTCTTATGTTTCTTTAGTGACAGGCAACAGTATATTGTATTGACAAGCTTTCTCCCTTGGCTATCTTCAGTTAAAGGGAAAATACTACAATGCCACATTGGTAAGTTGATCCAGGTTCAATCCAGGTAATTAACCCTTTTCTATTAAATGATGTAACAAAACCTCTGTCATCAAGTCCAAGCAAAGAAAATGGAGGCTGGAGCCCTATGCCCATAGCGGGTACCATCAACTTCAATATCATGGATTCATGGAACCCTTTGCATTGATCAGGGATATTGATTGGTTCGCCATAGCATTTAAACATCGAAGGAGGGTGATGGCCAGCAATATTGCAAGCCAATCCTTCTTCCGGTAAGAAACATAAGAGAATGCGGCAGGTCTCCATTGGTGATATGCAAACAGAACTCGGAAATCAACCAGTAAGAAGATATCTTCCACTCTATTCAACCACAAACAGATAATGTGAATCCGTCCTCCAACACCAACTCGGCTATCCAGTCCGATTCAAGTCATTAAGCTGTCATAGGCACATGTGAGTAAGTCATTGTGTAGTAGGTATTTACGTCCGTATGTAAATGTAAGTGGACGGTTAGAACTTAGCAAATATTCATAGAATTTATTTTTGGATCAAGGCGCATTCCGCCTTCCATCCACTACTGAGTACAACCAACCATCACTACCTCTGATCCTTGTTACACCTTATTCCAAAGACTGCATCAGAAGATCTACGCCGCTGAAAGCTGGTTCGTTGTTCAAGACAAGGAAGATGGGAACTTTCCTCCACTAACCTTATGTTTCTCCCTACATTTGAAGTTATGCACCGTCGCATCATATATTCACTTCAACGCAGGAATTGATTTCAAAATTAGGTAAGTGGATGATTTTGCTAGCATATCCGCAGTAAAATAGAGTTTTTTCTTAGTCTTTTTTGAAAAGCTAGATGGGAACATGGAAAGCGGTGAGATTTTGATAGGTAGAGGAGGGCAGAGGGGGTTTAGATTTCTTTTGCTTTGATTTACAGTACAAACTTTCAGCGAGCGAGCGAGCGAACGAACGACGAACGGTAATAATGTTTTAGGGTTAAAAATAATCATTGGTTCAATCGAAACTTCGTGTAGACAGAGAGTATGTCAGAAACGAAAACATCAACTTCGGAAAGGGTTAAACTAAAATAGGCTATTCTTATCCGAGCTTTCGTTTTGCCCATTTTTCCCCCTTACTTGTTTGCCCTGCCACCTTTTTCCAAGTGAAACCTAAATGGACTTTTCAATGTCCGTTTCTTGCTCATTTATTTTTGGGCACCTATGAGCATTGTATCTTCGGTACTTACAGGTATCATAGCTCAGGTTTGCCTTGAAAGTTTAGTCTGCTATTTTGCAAGCAATTATCCTGCGTTTGAAAATGTTAACAGTTTCAATGCTTCATAGCACCGGTAGACTGCGGACATACAATGTTGTGGTCATAGTAACCATAGCAAATGCTACCTTGAATCAAATCCAGCAAACTGTCAAAGCACCTGGTTAGTTGTGGTGGTTCCGCCCCCAAAAGAGATCAATATTGTTTATCGGAGCCGAAATCGATAGAAAACCAGTTCCATTCTTCGGTACCCCCCGTTACCCTGCCCCCATTGACCTTTTTTGAACACATTACATCTATCTTACTAAAAGAAACCTCACCAATTCCTTGGTATTATACAGCCTATATACTATTACTCTATAACTAATAACGATACTGGTACTTGACTATTACCTGATCAATCCAAGACCTCACACTGATACAGTCAAAATCTTCCTCCTTGTGGCACCCAGGATTGTTTGTTTGCCCTCCTCGTTATGAAAATAGATACTGGAGCAATGAAAAAAATAGTGGAGAGCCGGTGATAATGAGATAGTGCACTCTTAGCCCAGGTAGTAGACTACAGCAGAGAATTCCATGGCGGCATGACAGAATCTGCCATGGCAGAACCTGCCATGCAGTTTGCTAGGTAATCGTCTACTAAAGATGCTAATGTCTGCCTGCCCCTTGGAACTGTTGTAGTTCCCACCAGTAGTTAATTCTTGAGTTTTTCGATGATTACTACGGGAGAATACTCACTAATCAATTGATTCCACTCCACCTGACCTAAATTTGCCTATTTCAGCCAAAAAAAAAAGATTTTATTTCCATACACTTATCATACACTACTAACCATTACCCTTCCTACCATCTCCACCATACCATCCAATCCTGACCATACTAAATCCAAATCATCATCATCCTAGACAATCCGTACCACACTACCCTGCCCTACACATGCAGGCTTTCAAGCGCTCCGCATCCCGGGTACCTTGGCTGTGCTGAGAGCTATACCTATTCCATCAATTCTGCCAAACTCCCGGCAAGGACGCCTTTTGCTATTAGAATGCTGGCATCGCCAGCCAATTCATGATTTTGATATTTCCCTTTCGCATCAGGATCATCCAGAAAACAAACACACTTCAGCCCTCACGTTCGCTGCAACTCATCCCTCCCACCACATTCGCTTGTGTGTATCACTCTTAGGAAGCCCTCGTTGGCTCCTTCCGTTCGCTTTTGTGTCGTCCTCACTCAGCCCTAATTCTCCCAAAAACCTAAAAGGCAAGCCTTCGGAGGAAATCCCTTTCGCAGCCTTGACTCACAACATACCTTCGTTGAACAACTTAAACCCACACAATCGCTACGCAATCACTACTCTTTGTGTGACGATTATATCAGGCCGGATTCTCCCTTGATCTTCCGGATCCTTAAAGACATACCCAGCTTATATGCTTACTTGCTGCTCCAAGTCTGTCCAAGCTCACCTCGACATCGGAATACAGTTACGTTGCGTTCAGCCGCTGCGCCTTTAGATCTGATTGTTTTGTCATTCAAGAAGATATTGAACCCGGCTGGCTCTTGCAGCCTTACCATTACACTCGCTTGCAAAACTGTGAAGCTTGCATATATCCGGCAGCCTCGGAGACCTTTTAGATCTCTAGTACCTTCCCCTCTGTTGCCTCTTTCCCGCAACATATAAACTTTTTAGCTTTCTATATATCCTATTGACCTTACCTTTTCAACCTCGTTTCGACGTTGGCTTTCACTCGTTCAAGCCTTCGTCGTCAATTATTTACTCACTTTTTTTTAACTTCTTATTTTCCCCAAGCCTTATTCAAAATGGCCGGACCTGGAGGTGGACCCCCTCGTAGGAGGTAAGAAATACACTTCGAGCAATACCTTTGTGGACATAGACTGAACTTGAAATAGTCATACCAAATCTCGAAAGGGTTGTGAAACCTGTAAACGTAGACACATCCGTTGCGACGAGAACTTTCCTCAATGGTATGTCGATGGAAAACAAACCATCTTATGACTTGAAGAAGCTTCGATACTGATAATATTTTAGTCGAAACTGTACGAAACATAACTGTCGCTGTCCATATATGGATATGCCAGTACAGGAGGAACGAGCTGCCACGCCCGAGAAAGCAGACTTGTTATGGACCCCGGAGATTGAAGCAGACATCGAGCGATGGCAACAGACCGGGAACTTTCCCTTCCCTGATCTATACATCTATCCAGCTCCCAACCCTCAGTATTTCAACTTCGAAGACCTTCGCCTCATTCATCATGTTGCTTCTGTTTCCAGCGAGCTCAGCATTCACGACGCAGGAAATTTCACTATTTGGACTCGACAGATTCCACTGTAAGATTAACCGCGTTCACAATAAATGTTTGACATGCTAATCAAGCTTTTAGCTTGCTTAAGATTGGTTCGAGCTATCCTTTCGTCATGCACGCTTTACTCGCCTTGTCTGCAACTCATCTAGCTTGGTTGACAGACTGCCCTCTCACAGCAAATATGGCATATATTCATCGTGGTATTGCTCTCAAAGGCCTGCACGAAGCTATTGGAGAGTTTTCTCGTCAAAATTCAGATGCAGTCTTGGGAGCTTCACTTCTCCTTTCTTGGCAAGCAACGGAATGGTAAGTTATCAACAAAGCGGTTATCCAAAGAATATAAAGCTAACACAAACTTAGGCGTGGTTGGACCCAGCTCATGCATGGGACTTCATCTGTATGGAATACAACTAATATTGGGTGTCATATTTCAGTATCAACTAACATCTAATAGGTCATCGACGCTATGCAACCCTGGAAAATGGAATCTCAGTTCGGTGATTTTATTGCAGAGCAAAGTACGTTCCCAACCGCACCGCCATCTCCAGCGCCCGGCCAGAAGAAACTCAGTCAACCACGCAAGCAAGATTTGGATGCATTGCAACGCGCCTATGCTCAACTTCAAAAGGTTGAGGTCCATTTGAAGAGTCACGGCGAAGACACCAAGGCCATTCAACAACTTATGAGTTTTGTTCGAGGTGTCCGAAAGGTATCTCCATCCCATACCGCCGCCCAGCGATTCGAGATGCTCAATCCACTTCGAGCTTGGTTATTCTGGCTACCGGTTATGTTCTTGCAGCAAACACGCGGATCGCCTTCAGCGCTAGTCATCCTTGCTCATTACTATACCATTGCTTTGGTCGTGGAACCTCTATTCCCTGAGGTCGGAGCAGCATATTTTGGCAGTCTTTCTTTGGGACCTATCGAAGAGATCGCTCGCCGATTGTTCTCCATCAACGTTTCGCAAACTTCTGATTCCAACATGCAAACACCTCTTCATCTTATGGAATACCCCATTGATATGGTTTCAATGTTTAGAAGTCGTATGGGTTGGGTTCAGCCAGAGCGTACAGCTTCTTTCCCGACATTTTCACATCATAGTTACGGTATGGAGGACAATTTTAACACCATGTCTCCTTACGGAAATCCAGCTTTCACCTACAGCCAAGAGCATATCATGACTATGCCGCCAGATCCGATCTCTTCTGCAGCCATTCCGCCATTAACTCTCGATCCATACGCCAATCATTACTTGGGAATCCCATCGCCAAGTGGGTATGGCGGGTACCATAGTCCGGCATCTTCGAATTTTGGGGAGGGTTCAACGGTCTACAGCGAGCATGGGGAAGATTTTGCTCTGTATGAGGGACAGGGCTCCGGCTCCAATTTCGGCGGGTTTGTGCTTCCGACCGTGTGGATATAAACCTCGAACGAAGGCGATTTAACATTTACGACCAGGACCACTACATCATCTTTCATTCGAGCCCAGGTCATCTGCGGACCAGAACAAAACTGAACACTCCGACCATATGCAGCAACACATGCAGCATTTACCTCAATTTCAACCTTATACCTATCATCCTCAGCATTTACCTCACTCTCAATACGACAACACTCCGGTGGATCCCAAGGGAAAAAACCGCGAGCTTTAATATCAAATTATCCCCGAATTCCCCTTTTTGAATATGCGAATACGCGCGCACCGTCGAGTTTTTACGAGATTACACTTTATGGATCTCCTTAAGTATTGCTTTTAATATCTACATCATCCTAACGACTCTCCTTTATATCCGACCAATGATTCACGAAGTTTACGATTTTCTTTCGCTATGCATTCTTGTACGAATACCAGCACCCACGATCCTTTATATACCAATACAGCATCTTGCATTGGGCGGCGTTTTTGGATTGGGTTTGAGAATTGGAGGAATTATTGATTGGGCTGAGCTTTTGGGCTCAATAAATAGCCATAAGTGGCTATAAAAATCAGTTGGCGTTACAGTTAAGAATAGTAGCTATCTCGTGTGTAGTGCGATCAGGATTAGATTTGCAAACGTCTGGGGTTGCAATGATAATGTGTCTAGATAATCCATCAGATTAATCTGCCAGGAAATCAATCAATCAATCAATTAAATTAACAAACCCCTGGTGTTGTGGAAATCTCCAAGTGATCTGCTCAATGATGTGTGACCTGTCTGATATCTTTCCCCTTCCGCGAAAACTACCTCCCTAGGCATGCAGTCAGCTTCCAAGAAAAAGTAAGTTATTAGGTCGAGATCTCAATATACCCATATATTCCTCTCCACAATTATGTATAAATTCAAAGATCTACAGAAACGCATCGACGTTAAATATGACGTGCATCTACTCCCTACTTTTCAATTTACCAACACAATTCTCGTCTCACTTGGCACCTCACCGGGGGCAGCAGGGTGCAATCACGTGTGGAGGGGCTTAGCGTCAATGTTAGCGGCAAGACGTAATTCGTCGCACCTGGAGCTTACCTAGTTTCGGAAGCTTGAGCTTCAAATGTTTGGAAAGTTATAATTCAAAACCATTTCCTTCCCACCACACGTCTTGTACATTAAACTATAGCAAATATGAGTGGTGGTTGGTCTACTAGTAAGTGTTGCACTTGATATATCACCAACATTTAAATAGAAATACCATGGATACTAACATTCCACTCCAGTCGAATCTGACGCAGTAAGAAGCCTACAACATAATTCCTGGTTCAGAGCAAACAGACAATTAACATCTTCCTCTTACAGGGAGTCTTTACATTTCTTCTCGATAACCTCGGGGTCAAAGATGTACAGTTCGAAGAACTGATCGCGCTCGATTCTGATTATCTCCGCCAACTTTCTCCCATTTATGGCGTCATCTTTCTCTTCAAATATCCCGTCGGTGAAGCCCCCAATAAAGATGGCACGCCCAAAGATGGTTCCTACGATTATCCCGCTGCGGAGAATCTCTTTTTCGCGGCACAAACTATACAAAATGCTTGTGGCACCCAAGCACTCCTCTCGGTCCTCCTGAATAAAGATGGAGAAATAGATGTTGGCACTCCCCTTCGCGAATTCAAAGACTTCACAGCGGGGTTCCCGGCAGAATTCAGAGGAGACGCGCTCAGTAATAGCGATTTGATTAGAGATGTTCATAACAGTTTCGCTAGGTCAAGTCCGTTTGTTGACGAGACGCAACGATCGTCGAGAGATGAGGATGGAGATGTTTATCATTTCATTGCTTATACGTCTATAAATGGTACGCTCTATGAATTAGATGGTCTACAACCTGCGCCTATATCTCATGGAGCGTCGACTGTTGAAGAATTCCCAGAGAAGGTTATACCAGTTTTACAGAGGAGAATAGAAAGATATCCAGCGACGGAGATACGATTTAATCTATTGGCGATGGTAAAAGATTTGAGGGTTAGGGCGAGGGAAATGGGTGACGTGGAGTTGTTGATGAGGGAGGAACAGAAGAGAAATGAGTGGCAATTCGAAAATGCTTTACGAAGACATAATTTTGTAGGATTTGCAGGGGAAGTATTGAAGGGTGTAATAGGGGATAAATTGAAAGAGGGACCTAAGGCATATGAAGAATGGGTGGAACAAGCAAAAAATAAGACAAAGGCGAGAGCGGAGGAGCAGAAGAAGGGTGGTGGAGGTGGAGATTTAGAGATGTCTGGTTGAGGGATGTTACTGGCGATGGAGATTTCGAGAGAAGATACGCATCAGGTTGAATTGGAACTTCTAGGTTGGTCGAATATCATCGACTTAGCATTACTGGAACTTTTTACGCGGATGGAACTTAACAATGCATTGATTTGTGAGCGGAGCATACGAGTCAAAAAAGCTACAACATAACATAACGCAACGTCAATGAAATGGAATTTGTTGCCAGGAAACCTGGCTGGATTGTTTTTGTAGCCATCTTTTCTACGTTTTAAACAAACTTCTTATTTGTGTTATAAATCATTGATAAGCTAACAAACATACATCTCTCCTCCACCGCATCACCGGCGCCATCTTGCAAAAACTTATAAAGTTCAGAAACTATCCGATTTTCCCATGGGAAACATCATATTATCCTATTGTATATGGATATTGAAAAATCATGCATGTACTCATGCCACCCGCCAAAACGCTTACTTATAAACACTAAACACTATCCTCCTCAATTCCCAAACCCATCGCTTCATGCGTATGTACGTTTATCATGAGTACGTATGAATAAATATATGTAGGTGTATTCACACACCACAAAGCCTACCTATTCCATGATCAGAACCCCAAAGCCAAACCCCCAAATAACCCACAAACGCCCTCGCTACCTAACAACCTGGGCAACACCCTCTTCAATACTCTCCTGCATCCTCGCTTCCTCCGCTCTGCTTTTTTCTCCCTTTGTTCTCTTCCCCTTTCCTTCTTTCTCCTTTTCCTTCGGTCCCTCATCTTTGATATTATTATAATGCAACACCCCCAATTCCTTATCCATCCTCAATCTCTCTCTGTCCTCTTCACTCACCGGCACGCCCTCAATCGCCTTGACTTTCTTCGCCTCCACAAACGACATGATCCCACCCGCCGCCGCAACCATACACGCAAGCGCCACAAAAAGTCCCGTACTCCACGACGGACGATCGTACCGATTGAGTCCCCACATGAAACCCGAAAGGACGGCTTGCAGAAAGGTATTCCATACCATGGTCCAGACCACAAAATCGAGTTTCCACATGGCGGTAGCGGGGGCTCGAACACCCGTCAGTGGCGCATCCGGAGACTTTGAAAGGGGAAATGCAAGGCTGGATTGAGGGAGAGGAGTATCGGAATCGTGGGCGTCGAGTTGAGAAGGTCCGATTTCCGGGGACAAGGACGGAGAACCCGCGAGACGAAACCAGGATCTATTTATCCCAGCCAATCTTCTCAGTCCCATCTCATTCTTTCCGATGCGGTATTGAAGCAGATAATAGAGATCGCGAAAGCGCCAGGGAATGGTTCCAAATCCCGTTACGCAGAAAAGAGCATTGAGGATTTGCGAATCGATTTCGATCCAGATGCGTCGGGGAGAATTGATATCGTTGCAAGTGGGTTTGCACATGGCGGGCGAAGCATTGCAGAGTAGTAAAAAGAGCATGCCACCCCACGCAACCACATTCAAACCATAACCGTCCACGAGAAATCCCACAGGAGTGATGAAGAATTTCCAAAAGGCTTTGAAAAATATGGCCGTGGAAACTTGCCATGAGTGTTTGGGCGGAAATTGATATCCATTATCAAAAGGAGTCGTTCGATATTCATCGTCTATCTTCGCATTGTGAGACGCGCGGTTTGTATCGCTGCTAATCCGAACACTCGAATTCGGTTTCACAAGCACTTTATTCTTGACGTCTGAATGTGAGGTCGTAGAAGTACTTCTCAGATCTGCATGCGCTTGTGTACGATCCTCTTCCTCTGGGGCTTCGGGAAGAACATCATGTTTGGTTTCCGTACCCGATGGGATGTGATCGGACGTATTCATAGCGGTCGAATCCTTTCTCCTACTCTGATGCTGGTCTCCCAATTGTGAAATGGTGCTTCGAGAAGAGCTTGTCCGTCTCTGTATTTCTCGCACCTGTCCCTCGCTCGACCAACCCTCGACGCCAAAACTTCCTCTTCTGATATCGCTTATCGAAGGTACCTGCGATGCGATTTGCCCCGATGCAATACAAAATCCCGTCGGTGGGTTCGATTCCTCAAATACTCTAGAAACTCGCCGAATACTGCCCAATGTGCTTGATGGTCCTCTACTTCGAGTAGTTCCTTGCTCTTCGACTTTGGAGGTAGACGATGGATTTGGGGGGGAAGATCCCTCTAGAAGGGGGAATGGTAAGACGCTTGGTTCGATACTAGACTGTCCATCTTGGCGTGGGTAATTCGCTGAAGGCGAAGCTGTATTGGCATTGGCACTGGTACTGGTCATTGCATGATTATCGCCACCAGCCGCGAAAGTGTCATGGTTAGCCATGAAGAATGTATCGGTTGATATGGGTATCGAAACACTGTCTCAATAATGTGTTGAAAAATGCAACGAAAGACTTTTGCTTCTTCAATCTCTATTAAGTCATACTGAACACATGAGCATAGGAAAATGGAGTTTGAATCAGAGAAAGAAGTAAATAAAGTCGCATCATGAATCTGTGTACGGGTATGCGACTGCCCAGTGATTTAAAGAGTTCTAGGCTTTGCGCGATCCGTCCAGCTTATCAGAGTTACAAGCCATTTTGGGGGGAGATGGGGATTCAGGGGTTATGCATGGTAAACTTAAAATTTTAGCGGCCTCTTAACTCCACGTAAAAAAACTTGATCAGCGGAAGAATGCGAATGAGGGGACTTGGTATTCTCGTATTTCGTATTTCGTATTTTCGCATCTAATAACGGTAGTCTTCTAGTTTTTACTTACTCCGTAGAGAGCTATGTGTTACTAGAGATTTCAAAGAGACTGACCAAGAATTATCTTCTTGTGTTTATTAAAATCGTGATGTGAGTTGCATCACGTGCTAGGGTGGTCAAGGTAGAAGCATTTACGAAGGAGGCATGTAGACGTAGAGATTTAAGCCAGAGGATGAGTGCATTCTATGGAATGAAATATATGTGCAGACTAAATGGTACAAAGAAAGATACATAGATAGATGAGTGTTCGCATTACATGATTATAACTATTTGGAGTGATTCAAGATACGAATTTGAATTGTGTATTTCAGGATTCATCCAAGCTGTGTGTTTGTAGAGCTTGTGAAAAAAATCCAACATCATTCATATCCACATTCTTGAACCGGATGAATTGCCCAACCTGTTGTTTCCGTATTCTCGTATTCAATTACAATTTGAAACTCAAATCGAAAAGCTCGCGTGAAAACAGTAGAAAATAATGAAATCCAATTACGAGAGCTTACCCTCCGCTTTCGCAGCTAAAAGGATTGTTAGCTTCACTCTGAGGTTTTTGCAAGATTCTTACCTTTAACTTGCTCGAACACTTTGAGCATCTTTCTTCTCGCTCCAAGCGCGTTGACACCCCTCTTCTCCAATGCCTCGTCATCTAGTTCCACAAGCTCGGTCCAATTCATATCCTTAAGCTGATCGGTGTACTTATGTAATCTCAAACTTCTCAGCCAGCTGGGAATATCCTGAAGAAGGCTAGGATCGGTAGGATCCTCAGGGGGCTTTGAGCTACCCCTTCTTCCACGTGGCGATCTACCCCGCGCCATTTCACTATGATCAGAGAGATACCCCTCATGCTGTCCCATACCAAATGCGTTGAGACTCAAGCCACTCATGCCATTGTTGAGTAGAGGTGAGGCTCCATCGTATGCGGCCAAGAAGCCGTTATTCTGTGGAGATGCGAAATTGACTTGACCAAATCCGCCTTGCATGGCCAAACCTGGAGAGCTTGGCCTAGACTGCCTGCCGCCGAAAGAATGCTGCTGCTGAGCTTGAAGCCCCAAGACCTGGTCTCGACTCATTATTTGTCCGTGTTCATTAATCATGACAACGTTAGCGTTTGGCATATTGTTGGGAAGACCGGGAGAAGGTGGAACCTGCCCACCATCGTTTGATCTGGCACGGCGGTACTTTCGTACATCATCCAAGGCAAATCGATTGTTGACTGTAGAAAGGGCCGCTAATTTCATAGCCGTAGCGTTTGCGACCATATCAGTGTTGCTGTTCGACGCATTGAAATTGGGGACCATTGGTGTGTTGACCATCGAGGCCCAGTTTCCATTCCCTGCATTATATGGCGAAAGTAGTGGCATATCAGAGCCAGTGTTGTCAGGAGCGTTGATTACAGTATTTTGGAGGTTAGATGAGCCTTGAATTTGAGTGGGTCTGGGAGAGCGCAAGCCACCAGCGGAGGGTGGCGGTTGCATAAACTGGCCCATGGGTGTTTGTCCCGAAGATGACTTGGGCCTGTTTGCTTGGTCATTACTGCGAGATCCCCATGGTGAGGCGGGAGGTGCGGTATTGTCCGTCGAGTCTCCAAGACCAGCGATGACAGGTGCGGTGAGAGAGGCACGGTTGTCGTAGGCTGCACTGTTTCTGTTTGAGGTAGGAGGATTGCCCCAGTTCTGAGTGTATTCAGCCTTTTTGCTGGCAATAGCTGCCGCAGCATCTGGAAACATATTGTTTATCATGGATGGGTCTAGGACAGAGTGTCTCTTTGTAGACGGAGTGGCGGGAGGACGGCCAATAGAATTTCTTGAGCCATCACCACCAAGCTTGCCCATTGCATCGTTTAGTCGAGTTGACATAGGATCTGGAGTAGACAAATGTTAGCTAGGCCTCAGGAAAAGTGTGAAGCCGAGATGTTTTGAGACTAACCTTTGTCGAAGTTTGCGGGTGACAACACACCAGACATTGGATGGTTTTTGCCCATCTGCTGTAAAACTTGTATAAAAAAGCGAATCTGTACTTGGGTTGTTTGTTGAAGTAGAGCATACAAAGCAGCGGTTCGTTCGGCCTCACTCAGAACCCGGAACCATTGTTCTATTGCACTCAACTCATCTTTAAAGTCTTGATCCAAAGTTGCAGCTGCCATTTCTTCCAAAGTATTCTCATATTGGTCAATGTCGGCGATCCATTGCTGAGCTTCCAAATCAGTATCATTCTCAGGGACACCCTGACCCTGCATTTGTTGAGTACCATAAAAATCGGATGAAGGTCGAGCTTGGCCACGGCTAGCAGATGGTGAACCTGAATATCCAGCCATGTCTGCAGAAGCTCGAAGGTGATGACCTGAGCCGACAGCGCGTGAAGATGGAGGTCGAAGTGATGAAGTATTTGTAGACTCGACAGGAGTGCTGTTGCGATTGCCTATGATGTGTCCGGCCGACATATTGAGCATAACTGTTCAAAATGTAGCTTCAAAACGAGATGCTGTAATAAAAAAGATTGGAGATTCGCTTTGGGGGGAAATGGGGGAAAATATGAAACACAGCCGACGAATGTCAATGCGAGGAAGATTGCAAGTTCGTTCCCAGTCAAAAGCCTCGACCCCAAAATTAGAAAGATGTGCTCCAATGTAAATACCGATGCGCTTGATTGCTACCTGCAGGACCTGCTGAGGAACCAAATCAAAGTGCAGGATAGGTTCGTGTATTTTGTTAAGTAAGTTTATGGTGGATTGGAAGTGGGTGGGAGTGAACCAATAGAGAAGGATTTCTCCGGGTTCAGGTACTTTTTTGGGTAGTAACTTGTAAGAAGCTCCGAAGTCAGGCTGAGAGAATGGATGAAAGACGAGAGAGATGGATAACTCGAGTTCCTGGTTCCGATTTCCAGATTTCCAGATTACCAAAGGTCCAAAGAGTGCCGAATCGACCGTTGCTGGTTGATATTGTACTCTTCACACAGGAACAGAGTAAGTTATGAGTACAGAGTTGAGTTCAGTCGAGTCGAGTCGAGTTTGAGTCGAGTGTTATCCTGATTCAAGGATTATTCTATAGATGTAATAAGTACGTCGATACTTGGTAGGTACTAGCTATCTACGAAGTACTCGTATAATAGATAAAATGGATAGAGAGGCTTGTGTTCAACGTTTTATTTTGTTCTTCGTGAAGAGGAGGGGGCAAAAAGTAACGTTTCGAATTGAGTAGATGCGGCGGAGCAATAAGCTCATCAAAAAGTACTAGGTAGGAAAATCCCCGAGGGAAGTACAATTGGACATTTTATGATTGCTAGGTATGCTACTCGAGTAGGTACGTAAAAAGGGATTCACCGCGGAAGTCGGACAATGTTTGAAAAAGCAGAACCACCAGCCAATGCCAGATCGCCGTTGATGAATAAAGAAAAAAGTTCTATTTCACATTCAAATTCACCAACATAGATAATTGGGTTTCAAATTAAATCCCAGGTTGTAGTAAGGAATGAAGCCATCTCCATCTCGAGGTCCATTCATTACCTAGGTAGGTAGGTAGGTAGCTGGAGGCACTAGGTAGGTATATTCACTTGTAGCTTCGTTCACTTCACATTTCATACATCTTCCTAGGTAGCCATCATCCGGGATACCTAGGCAATTCTAGATCGTGATTGAAGAGGAAAGAATCGAATTATATTGGTTATCAAGTCCTATCACTGGGGCAAAACAAAAATACCTGCCTGTGGCTAGTTAACCCCCAAAGTCCCCAAAATATCCGATGCATGTTAAATGCAATCTCATAAATGAAGTCATCCTAAGTACTATGACTTGACATCTGATATCCACGATTTGATTTGTAACCCCTTCGTCATGCACCATTGCCTCATAGAGTATTGAGAAAAAGTGTTTGGTAATGAAGGGATCTGGTGTTTAATCTTGGCACGAAAAGAAAATATCCTTTCAGCTAGAGAGCATTGAAATGGCTCTAAAAGCTGTACACACAAATGCCTGTATTGATGATTGTTCATGGGGGAACCGAATTTGGGGTGGAAAGGGAATAGGGTAAAGGGGAGGGAGTCATTGGAGAAAGGGCCAATTTTCACTTAACCTCACAAGTTGAAATTTGAGGTACGTCGGATGGTGTAGCTTGTGTTGATTCAATGGATAGAACTATCGCCCCCAGTGTCTAATCCCGGTTTATGTCGTCGGCTTGCTTCCACTTCCCTGTAGAGCAAAACATCGGAATGCAACTACTGCCACAACCAAGTCCCATAAAATAAGATATTATCAAATTTATGCGGTCTCACGCTTGCCCTCCTTCAACTCCTTCTGTAATAATAGTCAGTATTCGAATGCGACGGAAGCTGATGATCGGAAGGAGGACGAACCAAAGCCTTCATTGTGCCGTGGAGAGCATGTCTGTGGTTTCTTCTGAACTTGGGGTCGGTACCCTTGAGGGATGGGTATCTGGAGGTCTTTGGCTTCTTGATACTGCGCGTCGATGTAAAATTAGCCCCCATTCATCCAAAACCGGTTGTTAACTGAAGTAGACGGAATTTGCGGTTATTGATCGCGATAATATATAGGGAATCGTACCCGTTACGGTGAGCCTTCTTCGACTGGTTGTGTTGGGACGAGTTCTTGGATTCTAAAAAGGGGCAAAATCAGTACAATGAACTGTGAGGCTGCCATATATTGGGACTGTAACGTACTCGCCATTGCGACTGTTGTTAATTAGCAGTCTGTTGGATTGTTGTGGTGGTCGATTTCGTATCGTAGAAGAGGGAATTAATTTTCCTCCAAAATGATCTTGGTGCGGCGGTTGCTCGCCTAAATTTCGATTTAATCACGTGAATACGACTAGCTTCCCCCGCTGGAATTCCACTCGCCCTTTTGCATCGAAGTCTAGACGCAACTCGAGCTACTCGGTATTCATTCCGTTTACTTTACATTGAAGGGTTATCATGTGAATTTGTATCTTTATGGCCCATGGTCAAAAATATCATATATGTCATTCAATTTGTTTTCCAATCAAGTATATGTACAGTACAAGCTCTATCACATCTACTCCAGCTAAACCTAGCAAAACTTACAATGCTCTACTACCCAAAACCATAAAGAAATTTCAATGCCCTCATTTTTGCTATTACTCGCTCAATACTCGAATTTGTTTATTACTTAGCAATGACTGGTAGAACTTGCTTGGCTTTCGACGCTGCAAGATCTGCGGCCTTTTGCAATTGCTCTGATCTAATCTTTCGAAGATATCTAAAGAGAAGAATGAAAAGTAGCTCCATCCTACAAAAGTATTAGCTTGATTAAATTTCATTTGGGTTAAATTGTATGGGCCGAGTTTTACCTTTCTTTCGTCATCATTAGGAGACCTTGAACAATGAGTCCCTTGGTGATTTGTGGACCGATTCCCTTGAAGAGGCCCAGCAATCCTTCATTATGAATGATGAACTGCATTACTTCGATAAAACTTTTAAAAGGTTTACCCTCTCTGGAAGGGGGTGGTCTTGACTGAAGTCCAACCTTTGCAACAATCAAAGGCTGGGTTACAATGGTTGCAAGGGATTTGGACATTGCTCCCAATACTATCATTTCGATTAGATCCCGAGAGTCCCACTGAATTGACAAACTTACCAAATGCTTCCCATGGTTTGAGGTTTGTCTTGCCTGGGAAAACAACCTCTCTCAATCTTTGATATGCACCATATGTAATGGCAGGATTAACAACAAGTACTAAGCTGGCCTTGAGACCTCTCCAAAGACCGGTCCAACCATCTTCGCTATGGATAACATCCCGAGCTGTATCTACCATCCCTTTCCTTTCACCCTTTTTTTGTGTTTGTTGACGAGTGGTAACTACTGCAACAGGAATAGTAAAGACCTGGGCAACAGCTCCTGCGACGGCTCCTAAAGACAATTCGATTGCAGTGCTTGGAGGCGTGGGAACTTTCTGGGAAGAGAGATATAACGTTCGAACGACCGAGTACCAGTAGAAGTAGGCAAAATTGGTTGAGGCGACACCAATCAAGGCGCCATTGATACCAGCGTAGAGTCCAGCAACTCCATCCTCGGCTACAATCTTCGAAATCGCATCCCAAGTCGACGTATAGTGGACTGCATCGTCACCCGTTGGTGCTACATCGGTCGGCTTGCGTTTGACTTGAACTTGCAGGCGAGTTTTCACTCTGGTAGAATTACGATATTAGCCACAAAGTACCAACAGATTCGTAGAATATAAGCAAACGATTACATACCGCCTTGCGAATGCGCACGCAAACGGGGATCAAAACTTACATATCCAGGGGATATACCATAGCATTTGCAATTACAGCTCCTGTAGCTCCAGCAACTGCCAAACCCCATGGTGGAATAACAGCTTCTTTTGATTGTCCTGTCATGTTGGATTTGTAGAATATACTGAACCGACTTTATATTCTTGAGTAGGGGGAATATAGAACGATTATATTTAAAATTTCATGGAGCAGCAAACAAACAAGCAATAATGGATATTGAGTCTGGGTATTATTAGGTAAAGGAATAAGTTTAGTGCAAGGTCTTTTTTATATCTTATTTGAATTTTTAATAATTAATAATAGACACAAGTATGTATCACAAATCCAGATAGATAAATAGGAGGTTATGAACATCTATGATATGATATTAAGTTTGAAGAATTCCTGAATCATATTCCTTCCTTCTTCATAGTTAGCCGTTATGTATTGCTATCATGCGCGGCGCGAGTGTCGGAGTTTGTGACGATCTTAAACCTCGGCTCGGATATTCGCCATGGGACCGTGCATTTTATTCCATCATTCCACCGAATTTCCACTGCTCCATGCCAAGAACCTTGACAACCTTAATGGGATGGATCTCGAGTATCACGTGGACATTCAGCTCTCTTGCAATTGATGAAACGGATGGGAAACGAGGACAATCCAAGCCGTTGGTTTAACTACATAAACAAGCAAAACATAAACCCAGATTGATCAGATAACACCCTTACGACTTTGCTCATATTTCTTTCTCCATCTTTAAAGTGAATCTAGTCTCCGCTGGCAGTCTGAAAAGCCATACATCAGACGAGAGAGCATTTGCTTAGGGATATGGCTTGATATCAACCGTTCGAGAACCCTCTCATTCATATGCTGCTCACTTTCGTATCCAAAGCAACATTCCTCTATAAGAGTTGTTGTAGCCATTATGGAAGCCAAAGCTCTTGTACGTCAATACCCATTAATCCGAGTGATGGAACAAGTCATTCTGACACTGGGGCTAGGAAACGGAGTTGAGCATTGACAAATGTAGCTCCAAGGAGGAAGCTTTGAAAGTCTCTATCGCTGCTATTGAGTTGTATATTGAAGTTTCGAAGCAAGTACTTGGGAATGCCGAAAAGGCAAGGATCAACCGAAAATGCAAAGCATTGATGTTGAAGGCGGAAGAGATCAAGAAGTCATCCACTTGGCCTATAAAACCCGCTTCAATCTTCCTGAAAGCTCCGGTATCCGAACGAACCTTGAGTAAACATGAAGAAATTATCTTGCTCGAGGGATCAAGATTGCATGGATTTATTTTCCCACGGTGGACCTCTGAGCCTGATGACACGATTTTTGAAGCATCATTATATACGTATGTAGATAGAACCGATAAGTAGTATACTGAGACCGTTTACTGACTCCAATAGAGACTCTTCTGAGCTAAAGCTTTCCGAGGATCAAATTGAAACATTTGCAGGTTGGAAGAGACCCCACGAGAGGGATGATGTTCCTTCTCAAATGCTGAAAGATGTGGAAAATACTGATATTCTTATGAATGCCTCTAAAGATATTGATCTTGTCCAGGATATAACTACAGATTGCTCCGTCGTAGCCAGTCTTTGTGCGGGAACAGCACGTGCTGGAAAGGGTCACAGCAAGGTACATCCATTTTCGACTGTCATATTGACCATACTTTAAGTTTACTGACTCTTTCTAACAGGTACTGGATACCATTCTGCGCCCATATGATATCAAAAAGCAGAGGCCGAGATCATCTAAAAACGGGAAATACATACTCCGTCTTCAATTCAATGGCTGTTATAGAAAAGTCACAATAGACGATCGGCTACCAGCTTCAAGTTCAGCTCGCAACCTTCATGTCGTGGATAGAAACAATCCTATGCTGCTATGGCCTGCATTAATTGAGAAAGCATATCTTAAAGTGCGAGGCGGCTATGATTTTCCAGGCTCGAACTCTGGCACAGACTTATGGATAATGACTGGATGGATTCCCGAGCAAATATTTTTACGAAGGTATTGATAATGTACCCTTTCCCAGGCATCAAGCTATACTGACCAAATTGATTGATAAAGTGACGAAATTCAGTCTGAATTGCTGTGGAAGCGTATTTATAAATCTTTTGAGTTCGGCGATGTCATGATTACATTGGGGACTGGTAAGCTGACCAGAAGAGAGGAAGCTGACTTGGGCCTGGTTGGTGCGCACGACTATGCTATTCTTGACATGAGAGAATCTGGGTCTCAACGACTATTACTCGTCAAAAATCCTTGGTGCGATGGTATGGCTTGGAAAGGGCCTAGACGAAGCCCAGTTCAGGAGGCATCAGGAGACAATACTTGGACGGAAGGTCTCCGGGAATCGTTGGAAGCGTCTGACATATCGAGAAGTTCCACCAAACCAGGTACTTTTTGGATGGCATTTGAGGATGTGATACAGAATTTCGAATCCTTGTACCTCAATTGGAACCCTGGACTCTTTCGTTATAGACAAGATCACCATCTCTCCTGGACGATTCCACTCGTTAATAACATCGGAACATTTACTCAAAACCCTCAATATGTCGTTCATTCTGTTAAAGGAGAGACTGTCTGGGTATTGCTCAGTCGACACTTCACTACAGAAGAACACGATATTGCTCAAGGTTCAAGTACACAAAGCATCACATCCAAGTCCCTCGGCTTCATCAGTCTGTACGTCTTTGACGCCTCCGGTCATCGCGTCTACTTAAGCGATGGCGCTCTACACCGCGGTGCCTACGTCGACTCTCCTCAAACTCTCGCGCGGTTCGAGCTACCCGCAAACACCTCCTACACAGTCGTAGCCGCGCAACAAAACCTCCCTCTCCCAAAATACTCCTTCTCGTTCTCCTTCTTCTCTCGCTCTCCCCTCACCATTTGTTCCGCCCCCGACAGTCACACCTTCAGCACCTCTCACCCCGGCTCCTGGACGACCCGCACAGCGGGTGGCAACGCCAGCTCTCCATCCTACCCCTCAAACCCTCAGTTCAGTATCACAATCACAGAACCTACCGATATAATGCTCATCCTCGAAGCAGACAAAGAAGACATCGCCGTCCACGTAACCATGATCTGGGCCTCGGGACAACGCGTCACCGTCATCAATTCCCGCGACATAGTCGGCGGCTCAGGCGACTACCGCCGCGGCTGCGCATTGGCAGAACTACACAACGTAGCCGCGGGCAAATACACCATCGTCTGCTCCACCTTCCAAGCAGGCGAAATCGGGAACTTCACCCTGCGCGTCAAATCCTCGAGCAAATGCGAAATCCGACCCATCCTCGCCGAAACAGCAGGCAGACTCGTGGCCAAACTCCCCGCCCTCGTCTTCCAAAATGGAATCGATAGAATGCTCGCGCCCATCACCGTCGCCCGTCTCACCCGTCTGAGATTCGTCGCGAAAACGAGTATGGAAAATCGACCGCCGCCGACAAAATCGAGACCGAGTCTTAGGGTTAGTATTGAGAAGGGTCAGGGCCCTAATAAGATCCTTTTGGAGTCGTCTAACGAGGGAGAATTCAGCGATGTGCCGGCGGGGATCCGCACGAGGGATATTGATATTTCGAGCGAGATGAATCGCATGGGGGGGATCTGGGTGGTGGTGGAGAGGCTGGGCGGGAGATTGGGGTTCGATGAGGTTTTTGTCGAGGCGTTGAGTGATTCCAAGGTGGAGATTGGGGTTTGGGGAACGGGGGATGGATAGGGTGGTGTGTATATGTATGCATCTTTCTCTTCTTTAGTAAAGAAAAATCAAAATAAAGAAAAAAATCATCTTCTATCCTACTCGTGATTGAAATTCACTTTTCAAAAAAAAAAAAAAAAAAAAAAAAAAAAACACAAGCATACATACACACGACGGCTAGAGTCTAAGATTGCCCCCTTAGCGAATCTGGAGTTTGAGTATACAGTAGGTAGTGGGTAGTAAGTGTATAGTATGTATAGACATGAAACCGAAGAATCCTACTATTCAATCCATCCAAGCAGACAGGCATCCATCCGTTTACTCATCTATCCGTCCATCCGTCCACCCCTCCCTCCATCTCCATCTACCTATCTGTCCATCCACCCCTCCACCAATTCCTCACATCCAATATCCCTCCTTCCCCTCCCTCTTCCCCTTCCCAATTTCCACATTCCCTCAAGATGAGAAGAAAAAAAATCACTTCAAAAAAAAGAGGAAGGCTTCATTCCATTCCAATCCAAACCAATCCCCAATCCACTCAAAACGACAAAAAAACAGCACAAAAAAAAAGAACACCCCCAAAATCCATTTCTGGTATCAAAAAGTGCCTCCCACCCCCATACTCCATTCATCCATCCAATCCATTCATCCCATTCAATCCAAATCCAAATCCGAATCCGAATCCGACCCCATAACCATCAATTCATAAAAAGCGAGAAAAATTTATGCGTGCTTGCCGTTCGATACTAGGTGTGTAGATAAAATCTCACCCACCCAGCAGAGGAAACGCAGAAAATGCAACGCAGCGCAAAAAAAAGAAGAAAAAAAAGAACAAAGCCTCCCTTCCTAATGAAACACCACCACTCCGCTTTATGACCTTTTGCCCATTGCAAGAAGAATCTGCAAATTGCAATTTTATCAAGCGTGAAGAAAATAATCCGACCCATATATAGATAGACCGATAGATGAGTTCTTTAATATTTTCAATTTTTGACTCCCCGCTCCCCTTCTCCCGCAACTGTCACTACCCCGCCCTGTCCAGCGGCTTTCAATTGCCACCTCTACGCCTTCTGCCTTTACTCAGACCTTCCGGTCTTTGCGCGAGCACTTCTCGCAAGCGCGGGTCGTCTTTATGTTTATCTGTGTGATGTGCTCTTACATGTCTATGATAGCTGCAAGTTAGAAGAAAATCCAGGCATTTATTTGCATTTCATTCAGAGGCGTGAGAATTATCAAATTGTCAATCAACATTCAAAAGTCTCCCTCCACGCCGTGTCCAAAAAATAGAGAAATTCGAACATACCTTTGCAGATTATCCGGCCTTGGATATTTATGCTCTCTTTCCGGACAGAAAGGACACACATAACCCGGACTCTCGTGAACCAAACCATGTCTAATCATTTCATTTTTCCTCTTGAACCCC